GTGTGTGTGTGTGTGTGTGTGTGTGTGTGTGTATGCACTGCTATCCTGGATTAGAGTTTTGGCACAGATTTCAAAGGTCTTATCAGATGAAGGTTAGAATTCTGCTTGGTTGATGAATGGCCGCTCCGTATGCATTCAGCTGGGCATGTTCATATTCCTGTCAGTGTTAATGGAAGGACTGTTAAAGCTTTGTGTGACAAATGCATTTCTGCCATACTGTAAGTTAGTACATAATGGATCCATGTCAGCCACCTCTAATATCCACCGCTGAACTGGAACAGGCAGGGCGGTTACACAAGCTGGAAGCTGTGCAAATGCATCTCTGACTATGTCAATAATACTAATCAAAGGTCTGAGTAACAGAGGAAGTCAAACCGTACCCAGCTGAAAAATTTCACTAGATCTGTTCAGCTGTTGCACACTCCATTGTGTTCACTGTGAACATAACGTAAAATCATTTTAGAACATTTTCTCCTGTACGAACGTCACTGCACCCTTTGTGTGGGAATCCAAATTGTGGTCAGGTGCATCCTGTTTACTTTAACTGTCCTTGAGCTCTGCTGGAGTCCACCTGTGGCAAACTGGCAAACTGATTAGCCATAGTTTAGAAAGGCACACACCTGTGTATATAAAGCTTCCACAATTCACACTGCACACCAAGACAATAGCAACCATTATGACTGGAAACTGCATTGAGGTGCTGGTTCTAAATCCATTTATAAAGGTTTGAGTGGTTATTAGGAGAAACACCCAAGTAACGGAATGACCAGGGCTCTTCTTAGAGTCCGCCAGACTAAGTAGGGTGTCTGAGTAAATATTTAATTGGTCTGGTATGTGACCAAGAATTCAGCACTTATTGCAAGAAGACTTCAGATGTTTTCTGTAGAAATCGGAGAACCTGCAGGAAGTTTGACCGCCACCAGACGCAAGCAGTTCTGAGTAAAAGACACATAACAGTCTGCTTCATGTGTCTCAAATCACATGTAAAGGATGTCTGAAAATAAAAACTCAGCAAACATGTAGACACATCGTGTTTGTGGGACACAGGCACTGCTGTTGGATGGTCTTCTTTGCAGCTGGGGTCAGAAAGCCCGACAGGAAGGATGAGGAAAAGGATTCTGGCTAAATGCATGGAGGTCTTGCAAGATACCATCGCCAGAGTGCATCGGCTTTGGGAGAGTGGGAGTCGCCTTTCATGACAACAGTCACCCAGTGTTCAAAAGGTCATCCATCCCCCCATCTATTCTCTGTACTGCTCCCAATCGATGATGAGGAATAGCCCCAAACATATAATAAAATGCTGGGAATACAAGGAAGTCTTAAGCCAAGGGGAGGAATGTCAGCCATTCTGGGGATGACTGAACTGCTGTGTTATTTCCTTTTCTCGGGACAGTTTCTGGATTACAGTGGGAGTATCTGTGAAGCTCAGCAAAGACTCTCTCTGGTCCTGGGTGGGTCAGAAACCACACACACACACACACACACAAACACAAACACTAAGTTATGTATGCACATTCATGGAAGAGTACCACCTTCTAATAAATGAATGATCAACAGATATATGTTTACTGACATGGATTTATTGTCATCACAATCCTCTTGCTCTTACCAGACAAACTGGGGAGGTTGTAGATTTCTTTGACTCGTCATCACAGAGGTCACTTCGGCATCCCTTAAGCTGACATCTCTATTACACCCAAAAGAAAAGTGGTTTCAAAACACGTCTCAGACTGTAACTAGTGGAGCAGAATTAAACCGTTTAAAACATCTTTGGCAAGATCTGAACTTGTACACATTTGCTATCCACTTTGACAGAGCTGTCACAGAGAATAAAATAAACTTAAAATCTTAAGCCAGGTGTGCAAAGAGAAAGCTCCAATTATTGCCAAAGGACAAGTAAAAAGTATAAAGAACTGAACACTACTTATATGAATGATTTTTAGTCAGTAATACATTCACTAACCACTCTGAAACGTGTGGTTTAGTGTCATACGTAAACAGATCCTGAGGATCAGAATTAGTAATAAATGTCGGGGGAGAAAAGGAGAGAAAGAGTTCCTACCTTGACTCCAATATCTCTAGTCACTGGCAAAAGCATACAAACAACAGCTGCACAGTTTCCTGCACACTGAGCACACGTACTGCAGGCTCATGTCCTGCTACAGGCAGGGGCGTGTTGTTCTCATACATATACAGCCCCGACACACCTGCCACAACAGAGCACAGCTGTCAGCGCATCAGCCTTTACCCTATACGTGACCTCGCGGAGCTCACACACAAGCCTAATTATGCACATATACGATGCAACGCACTAACCGCCTGATTGTGTGGCGACACCTGAGCACACATTCACTTATAAAACAGGATTCAACTCGCCTGCACAGAGCCCGCACACAAGGCAACGCAAACCAAGAACAAGCATACCATAGAGGCTTTTCGTTCAGCCCCGTGTTTGTGCCTGTAGTTAGGAAAGGGCAACACATTGCACGAGAGAACGATTCAACAAAATTTCCAATTCTTTTATGAGACCTAACAAAAAAAGAAAAACAGCACATGCAAACCCCGCTCTATAGAATGGATCGTTGATTTAATAGGGCTCTATAAATAAAAATGATCATATGGATAAAATGCTCCTTTGGAACATCTGCTGTATGTTTTATTAATAACACACACACAGAGCGAGAAGGGACAGTGAACAAGGGGAATGCTAATTGGCTTACACACAAACACACACACACATACGCACATTGTCAGATTGCCACACTGTAACTAAACCTCAGCTCCTCTCACTCCTCTCCCTCGTGCATTTGCTGTTAAAGGGAGGCCGAGTTATCATGGAAGTGAAGCAGATTTCCAAGAAGATAAAAAAAACAACAACTAAAAAAACTAAAAGCAGACTGGACCATATAGGAGGGAGCAAGGTTTTATAACCTATAAATAAGTGATGTGCCTTACCAATGCTACTCCCCCCTCGACCCTGACTTTGCTGCCCCCACCACCCCAAGCTTGCTCCTGCTATCTCGCTAAATGGGGGAGGGGAACAATGAAAGGGGTATGAGTGACAGATAAGTAGATCCTCATTAAAACTCTGCGCTTATATCATCCTCCGCTCTAACCCTCCTCTCCTCCTCTGCATCGAGCTCTGGAAAATGATAGAGGAAGGGAGAGAGGAGAGGGAAGGTGCTGCTCATTGGTTATTCCTGTTCTCTGACCTAACTTGACAACCAGCTCCAATAACAAGACAAAGAGGGATGACACAGAGATTTTTGCCAGAGACCAGGATGCTGACAAGGAAGTGAACTGTCCTAAATTGGCAGATAATGGGCCTGCTGTGGGCCGCTCTGTAACCTCCTCCGCTGTGCTCTGCTCTGAATACAGTAGATCTCAAACATACGGCCTTTCAGTTTTTTTTTTTCCCCTCTCTCTGTTTTACAAGCTTAGCTGGTCAGCAGCAGGGTCGGATGTACCACTGTAACAGCTTCTCTTTATTTTCTGTTTTCATGTGTAACTCTGTGAGTCACCCTGGAAAAGCTCTTTACCCAAACAAATCGCACAATTTGCTTCTTAGGACAAATAGACCTCAAACTATAATCAGACACAACGTTTAAAATAACCAGCGCGTCACCTGGTTTAAAGTACACACTAGCATACCCAGCGGAATACTTTTGAAAACAAGTGCTCAAAATACAATGAAAGGTCATGTAATACGCTTTTTTATTTATTCAAAAGATTTTGGTTTATTCATAATCTTCTATAAAAAAAAACTAATGAAAAACCTGAATCTGGAAAAAAACAAAACATTTGCAGTCCAGTGTTTTTTTTTGTTTTTTTTTCTAAAGCCACATGGACTTTGGAGTGCATGGAGAGGCTCCCTGCATGCTTTCAGCTGCAAACAGGAATTAATCAAGAGTTAGGAAATTGCAAGTACAATACAAGTTTGTTAACAGTCTCTTTAGGCACTGGAGTCTCTGGAGTCCCATGCCAGGACCCCTGAAGAATATGTCATTTCTTAAGTTTGAATGGATTTAAGACTACATTATTCACATTAGCACTTCCAGTCGAACTGAAACAGACAATAAATAATGCTTTCAAATTAGATCATTAGTACTGTCACTGTGATTCGGGGAGTAAACAGAGCTACACAAGTTAACAGGGCACGTTCTCCCCAAATGGTTTCAAATAGATGTCAAGAGTGATTGTCATGAAGGTGTGTGGAGATATAATCTGGGGTCGCGTCTCTGAATCAAAATGGAAAGGAGAAAAAAAAAGCAAACATGGAACTTCTTGATGCCAAACGTGATCTAATAAAACAGAACGGATGCTGATTCGGGTTTATTATTTGGTCCCATAATGCTTGGTTGAAGACTGGCCGTACAGCCCATAGAATTCGGCATGTCTGGCTGTCTGCGATGTTTCCATCAGTCCCCTCATGGGAAAATGCTGCAGTGGCTGACTTGAGGGTAGAGGGGCATGTGGGGCAAACTCCTGAGAGGTCACAGAGGGGAAGGTGTCCGATGCTGGGTACGGAGGCCGGGCGCAAGCAGCGGGGGCCCTGGAGCAGCAAGTACACATCAGTACTTTCCTCCCTTCATACACGGCTTGTTGTGAGGCACCAACACTTGAGAAGTGGGAGGATGGGAATATGGTTCCTGAGTGGTGGCTAGAGCTGGACCCTAGACCCACCATGTGATGGGCTGAAGTATCTAGGAGCCGACTATGACCAGGGCCAGTGTGAGGATTCTGTGAGAGGACTTCAGAGGCATATACAGATGATGCCCGGTGACCTTGGTTGGCCAGGAAGGGTTTTTTGCTGCTGTAGAGCAAAGGTGGAGGATTCTGGGAGCTTTCTGGGTTAGCCTCCAGGAACGCCATGCTGTATTTCCTCTTCTGTATTCCTGAACTAGTCCCCAACTGGGAGCTAGCAGAGCTGCTGTGAGACTGCACAATCTCCAGAAGAGGCGACTCATTGAACGGTTCTGAGAATGACAAGTAGAGGTAGGACAGAGAGATGAGTGCTAATTCTAATGATAATACATCTCTGAAAAACTCATCTATAGTTATTTTTCTGTAATTTAATCCTACCCTCCAGCATTTTTCGCAAGTTCTTCTCTTTTGTTGACAGGTCGGACAGCAAATGATGAGAGTTGAGCTGGCCCACTCTGACTGAAGGGATAATGCTATTCAGATGTGAGTTTGACCTGTAAAAAGAAACACGACAGTAAAATCATTAGTATTGAATTGTTAGAGACACTCTGCACCTTGAGATTCAAAAAATATAAATATTCTTTTTTAAAGTTGGCTGTGATTACATTTGGACAAGATGATAGTGCTGCAAAGTTATCAACACTACCTTAGCTAGCTTGGTTATTTCCATTGGTTGTTCACTGCATGATTAAATAAGATGCAAAGTTTGACTGTAATCATTGCACCAGTTTAATCATTATTAAAACTGATACAGCTACAAAATTGGCTAAACAGACAAACCTGTTTTTACAACAGACTGTAAAAGTTCTGGTGCCAAAGGTTGGGCATTTTAAAACCCAGTTTGAAGTGGCCATTGTAAGAACTTTTTGGAAATATCCCCTTGTTGAGTCTGAAAACCAGTGACTTTCAAGTCTAAATGCTCCATCAGTTCCCAAAAGCAAACAAGCACTGACTCACCCCTAACGATAACATGTTGAAATGCTTAAGTTAAAAATAGTCCAACTTCTTTCAACAATAAAATGACTAGTGTGACTTTTCTCCCAGTAATAAGGTCTAGCGGAGTTAGAAGCTAATCTGCCTCAACACAAGATTTGCGAATTGACGTGTTGAGCACAGACCTTAGAAAGTTCGTCAACTTCAACTGACTAACCACTGGCGATGTAAAGTCAAGATAAAACAATTTTCTACTTTGAGGGGAGGTCACTACAATTACTGCACAGAATGGTCGTTATTGACATGTGAGAGCTCAGTAAATACATCGGCCGGTTAGCTATGCAGCCGGAACCTGGCATGTCTGCTAGCAATCAACCATCAGCTTTAAGTGTTAATCACTTCCTGTGTAGATGCAGCTTTAGATGTGAACTAGCTGACACCTACAAATGAGATAATATGTTTTTACTGAAGTACGAAAAAAAAAAAGTACAGCCATGCTATACCTCTTGACATAATACAAACCGCAAACTTAATAACGGATGTTTGAATGTTTAGTCGTAACCACTTGTAGCAGATGGCTGCCCCTCCCTTAGCCTGCTTCTGCCTAAAGTTTCTTCCTGTTAAAAGGAAGTTTTTCCTTCTTACTGTTGCAAAGTGCTTGCTAATAGGGGGTTCCTTCATTGTTGAATACTTTCTTGAGACAACTGTTGTTGTGATTTACATAAATAAACCTATACATAAATAAACCATCAATTGACCTGCTACCTGTAGCCAGTGTTGCCAACTCCTCAGTAAGGAAAATCGCTATTGGTTGTCCTAAAAGTCGCTAGAAGTCGCTAAATGACGTCATCACCTAATTTGTATAATTGGTCATGCTAATGTAATTGTAACCTATGTTGTTGGAGAGAGAAATAACATCGTGGACGAGACATAAAGTGAGCAAAAAACATCCTAAATGCATTTAGAATTTATTTAGAACTACAAATTAAATTTCTTTTAGCAATTATTGTTTTTTGTAATGTCACAATTCCAACCCTGCTCCTTTACCCGGGCTTGGACCGGTGTTGTGCCAAAAAGTGATTGTCTGCCAAAAACTGATTTCCGGTATTTGCCAAAAACTGATTGCTCGTATTTAAACTGCTATAAGTAACTTGTTGGCCTATAATATGTGAAACAAATTACAGTCATATTGAGCCACAAACAACATTCGTGTAACAAGGTAGAAGCCGCAATCAGTTTTTGGCAGCGACTTTTATAGAACCTTTATTTATGCAGTTAAAAAAATCTCATTAACATTAAAAATGTCTTTTGTAAGAGTTAGTTGGCCAGGAGGACAGCAGAAATGGCAGCAAATATTACAATAGTTCTGTAAAAATATTTTAAGTGGGGATAAAGGACCGGATTGGTTATAATGTGAGTACAATAACACAGAGTTATAAAGATACTTGAAAAAACAGATAATCTTTTAATTCTATATATAACCCCTTTGTAAACGCTGTTCACCGAAGTCTATTTACCAACATACGTAAAGGTATTACACATAAAAAATACACGGAAACATTGGAAATCAGTTTTTGGCAGGCAATCACTTTTTGGCACAACACCGGCAAAAGTGACCCGAAATAGGCACTCTGGTGGAGTTACTGTGTGTGTGTGTGTTTATAAGTAGTTTTAAACCTGATCCACAAAACAGCATAAGAGTAAAAGAAGAACTGACTGCGTTACAGCACCCGCTGCTTGTTGAGAGTAAAAGCGATATGCGCTTTCACGTCTTTTTTAGCGACTTTTTTTTTGAAAAAAGGTCGCTAGGGGGTTTGAAAACTCGCTAAATATAGCGACAAAGTCGCTAAGTTGGCAACACTGCCTGTAGCTAGCCATGAGGTAGCTAGCTACAGCGCTATGGTTAGGCTAATGTTGTGAATAAGAGTATATGCTGAAATTCCCCGACTGCCAAAGATAAATGTCACCATATTGCAGAAAGAAGACTATCGGGAAAAACTTTACAGCCAAGTGAACGTCTGAGATGAACCCATCCACTGACTGAACATCCACACCAAAATCATGCTGTCCAGGGGACTGTAGATCCATTGGCTGTAGTGTGCAGGGTCAAAGTTTAACTTGCTAAAAACACTATGCATAGGGCTAAAAAAAAAGTTGTTGAGGCCAGGAGTGAAAAATGAATAGTTAAAATCACTGCAGCATGTTAAAAAACTGTGAGGCTCACCCAGTCCCACCATTAAACAAGCAAATAACATGTGGCAAGGAGACAAGCCCTCCTGCTTGTGATCAGGTTTTTGAAGTAATTAATCACAGAGTATTTTCCATTTATACATCATAGGGGAAACACATGGGTTTATCTGTTCTACTGCTGTTTTCTCTGACCTTTGCTTATATTTCGCTTGCTTGACCTCTGTTGGAGTTTTTTTTTTTTTTGCCTGCTTTTATTACCAGTACACCCGCTAAAGCTACATTTAGCTAATTCCACTGAAAACAACGCAACAGTTGAATGTTGTACAAGGACATATTTGATAGTTTGGCTGCTTTTCTCACAATGAATAAAGATGATGATCAGTGCACTAAAAAGCTTGCATGAAAACATCACTGGGTTAGTCCAAAGAAATGAATATCTTAGAATAACTTCTTACCTGTCCATGAGGAGCTGATAAGGTTTTGTATTCTGAAATGAAAAAACAAAAGTTTCACAGGTCATTCCCACACACCATCTGACTTCAAATGTCTCACTAACAGTTATTAGAAGATGCATCAGTGTTTACTGCGCATGCTTTCATATCACAACATCATATTATGTCCCTCAAAAGTATCACTGCCTGATGCAGATGCAAGAACTGTGAAAAGCGGTCATAGAGATAAAGGTTCATGTTCGATAAATAGAAAAAACTATTTGCAGATTTGTTGTACCTTCATGAAATTCAAACTGCCCGCCTTTTGGAAGAATGTTTGCACTGAGCTCAGGAGTTTTTCTGCTTCGTGGCGCCTCTCGTTGAGCTGCAGCACCTGCTGGGAGTTCTTCCTCACGTACGAGTTGTAGGTGCTCTCCAGCATCTGCATGGTTTCAGCCTGGTTTGCTTCTAGCAGCGCATGCATCCGCTGATACTGGGCTCTTGCACGCTCCTTCAGTTCAGACACTGCATCCTGTGGTCACAGGATACACAAGTATGCACGTTTACACACAGAAAAGCATTTTTAAATGACTAAAAGTACTGATGTTAACAAACAGATACTACAATTTTTATTAACAGACACACAATTTTATGGAATTTGTGCTTTTCTTGTTCAATGTAAAAGTGGGAAAGTCATTTGTTAAATCCATTTTCACTTTGCTGCACCTGCCAGTCATAGTTAAAGTTACATTTACCTTTGATTTCCCAAGAGTGAGAAACGGTAGAGTAATTTCATTACAGCAGACAAAATTATAGCACAAACCCCCATGCTGATAACATTCACATAACATTCGGAATTGAAAATGCACCTTCATCAGTGTCTTGTCTGACTCCAGCTTGTTGAGGTGCTCATCGATGTTCTGAACACGACCTTCCAGTCTGTCTTGCTGCCTCATTAGCATGGCCTGTGGAGGAATGACAGATAGGATGGATTAGATAGGCGAACCACAACAAGATGCCCTGAAAATTAAAAACAAATATACCCACACATTTACAAACTCTGAAAAACCTGGGCCTCTGCTGTGACCTCAGCATACCTAGCTGCTTTTCACGAGGCATCGAGACAACTTTCTCCACAGTCAGCTTCCAGCGACATGAACATGCATTTAGGCATTCGGAGAGCAAAGGCACACATGGCTGCACAAATCATTCTCTGACTGCTCCAAAGTTTGACGCTGACCCTGCTGTGTCAAATGAGCTCCATTGTTGGGACAAGCTTACTTCCTCTGTGGGTACACAAGAGCCAAGAGCCAGTTAAAAAAAAAATCCACTGAACATAATCCTTCCCCATTTACTGCAGAGGCTGGGAATCAATCTGCTGTCACAGACTGACAACTAACTAGAAACAGGGGAGGGCAGGTAGACTTTTTAATGAACTGTTTCTGCATTGGAAAGGCAGCGTGCCCAAATAAGAGAAAACCTGCTGTCATGGCAACAAAGTCTTGTGTATGTAGTCATATGTGAAATCTCATGTGTATGTAGGGAGCGGGGGTGCCTCACTA